ATATATATATATATATATATATATATATATATATATATATACATGTATGTGTACATGTGTGTGTGTGTGTGTACATACATGTATATATATATATATATTTTAAAGTGATTTTTTAAGGATGGATGGTATCAGGAGAACTGCCCCATGTGAGATTACAGCAGCAGATGTGTCGTTTATACTTTAGTCATAAGAATGATCATATAAGGCGGCTCATGTGAAACTTCAAAGAATTCATCTTTCTGGTTGTGATTTTTTGAGATACCGTGATTGACCATCAGGTAGACGTATGGTCGCCAATTTGGTGGCTTTGCAATATCTTCGTATCAGTTAAGCATTTTACCGTAATAAATTAGCTTAATTTTAATATCTTAGTAACATTTTCTATCCTTAGCAGACTCAGACTCACTAGCGTGACAGAAACTGAGAGCAGCTCTGAGTAAGCCTCCCCTTTGACTCCGTCAAGATCTGCAGTGCCTCCTCGTGCTGTGGAGGAACTCGAAGGCCAGAGATATGGATTCATGGTCCACCGGGGTGTGGCTTCACCCTAGCTTGTACCAGCTTCCAGCCCTCATTGGTTAATGGGCGGCTCTGGAGAAGTGGACTGGCAAACCTTTCTGGTAGTGTCTTTTGTAAATTGTTAAAGGGGGAGGGCTACTGCTTCTCCCAGCAGGTGAAGTAGCCTATGTGTCTGTTCGGAAGGGGAGTGTAGGGAGCAGGAGCCAACCCAGTGTGAGACCTGTGGGGCAAAACCTAAGGGAGCCCTACAAGCGGACGATGGGCCCCGCAGTCCCTTGATGTCGGGCAACAGGATGGAGGTAAGGAGACCTGGTAGCAGCATGATTAGTGTGGGTGGTTACACCTACTACTAGTCAGATTGGAATGATGGCCACCATCTCAGGGGGCAGCCATAGGCATCTCCATCAGACTTCAACGTTCGGCAAAGAAGGTACTCAAGGCGAGCTTATTATTGCAATGAGAGTGAAGCATGTTTTGGTTTCATGTCTCTTACTGATGTGTATGCTCCTACCCATGATTGCACACTTGGTATGAAAAATGTGTTCTACGCCAAACTCGCACCTATAGCAGAAAATTGTCCCCAACAAGATATTTGCATTGCCCTGGGGGACTTCAATGCAGTTTCCAGTCGTGATCAAGCTGATCATGAGATGTTTGTCGGTCCCCATGCTCAGGAGATGAATCAAGCAGTGAACATAGCCTCTTTCTTTGGGGCTTTGCAATACACTGAGGATTTCAGGTTCCTGGTATCAGTGCTCCAACCCGCATCGTTGGGTATGATTCGTTTATATGGTCAAGGGGTTGATCACTTCCTTATTAGCACTCCCTGGAGGATCCTCCAGAACTACAGGGTTTACAGGGAGCGGACCATAGATTGGTCATGGCTATCTTCTGGTCCACTTCAAAACTCCCAGTCTGTCCAGAGTCCAACCCAGGATCCACCAATCAATAAGGATCATTCTACCGTGAATGAGGTGAGGGACGTGATTTCTAAGTTAAAGGGTGGTAAAGTAGCAGGCACTTGTGATATCCCTGCTTAACTGCTAAAGGCTGGTAGTGAACCTATGGGGCGAGGTTTGCTTGCTGTCCTCACTGCCATCTGGCATTCCAGTACCATTTCCCTAGACCTGTTGAGGGGCATGGTCATCCCTCTCTAAAAGTTTAAGGGATTTGATGGGGCTGCAGCAACTACTGTAGCATCACATTGCTCTGCATATTAGGCAAAGTTCTCATTCACATTCTTCCGAGACATATCAGGCACCACCCACTAAGGTACTAAAACACTGGAACAATCTGGATTCACTCCTGGCAAATCCAAAATAGACCATGGGCTAGTGCTTCAAGTCACTGTGGAATGCCATCATGAGTTTGGTTGTGGGATGACTGTAGCCTACATTGGTCTTATAAAGGCATCATCTTGATGACTTTTGTAAAAGGACTTTGCACCACAGTTGTCAGGACCATATATTAAACTTGCAGTTACAACATAATATTGGCGTAGGACCTTTTACTTGCTTTACTTTGACTTACTCGTAACTCAGTAACTCTGGCTTTATGATCACCAAACTTGCCTCCCATAGATGATCCTGCAAATCAGTTTACTCCTCCCAAGACAACCCAAGATGGAGGAGGCCTGTGGGATGACCAAAGAAGTCGTGGCATGGATAGATTGATCAGATTTGTCACAAGGAGTTAGAGATGGGCTGAGGCCCTGTCTGGTGGGTGGCCATGAGGGCCCCTCACAGCTGGAATAAAAAAGTTGATGCATCTATGCTTCCTTGTCGGCAAAAACTAAACTGATATTGATGAAATGCACAGAGAGAGACAGAGATATAGATAGATAGAGAGAGAAAGAGAAAGAGAAAGAGAAAGAGAAAGAGAAAGAGAAAGAGAAAGAGAAAGAGAAAGAGAAAGAGAAAGAGAAAGAGAAAGAGAAAGAGAAAGAGAAAGAGAAAGAGAAAGAGAAAGAGAAAGAGAAATAGAAATAGAAATAGAAATAGAAATAGAAATAGAAATAGAAATAGAAATAGAAAGAGAAAGAGAAAGAGAAAGAGAAAGAGAAAGAGAGAGAGATAGAGATAGAGATAGAGAGATATTGCAAACCAGTAATTCTGGTTTATTATTACTTTGGTTGTAATCAATGTGCATTTATGACTACTCTCTTCCTTTCCTAATTTGTTACATTAATAGTAAATGTAAACTAAATATATAAAAAACAATTCATATTCATTAATGTTCTCTTTCTATATATCTTGCACTACATATGTACTTGATACAGTTACATCCATAATGCTAGCATCCAAAGATTTGTAACACTTCTGTCTTGTAAGTTATTTGACTGATTTTTTTCTTTTCTTTTCTTTTCTTTGCTTTACCTGTTACTTAAATGTGGAATGAAGCCATCATTGAGATGTGCAATTAAAAATATTTAATATTTTTCTATGTTATTTAACCTTTAGATGCAAGGAGGGCATGTCCAATGGTATTTTTTTTTTATATTTATCTTTTATTCTTGTACATACAGATGCCTCCACAAATGTAAGTAAAAGGATCAACAGTAAATTAAGAGACTACTTGAAACTACTAAAGGAATATCAAAATGAGTATCAGAAAATATAATTCATTTATTAACTCCAGTACAGGAAGAAAATGTATAAATATGAAACAAGAACAGAAGTATCATACTTGATTTAAACAATTTACAGAATATTTCTGCTTAACCCATCTGTTCTTGCATTCCTAGTTCTCACAGCCATATGTTCAATATAGCACATTCAAAAATTACTCGCCCCCAAAAATTGTGTGGCTTATAATTATATATTATATAAATACTTTTGATACACACCCCCCCCTACACACACACACATTTATACATATTGCACGATGCATATGTAACAAATATTTTTTTTCCACTTTACTTTTCTTTGTCTAAATTCATTACAAATAAAAACAGGAATAAATAATGACTGCTTAAACCTGTACTTTCGTTTTCTCCAATGTTATACCCGTGGATCCTCAGTAAAAGTGGGATATCTGGAATAACTATTACCCAAACTTTGCACTAAGGGCCTGATTTCAACATTGGGTCCAATGCAGAGTCCTAGTATTTTGTGTAACCACAAAGCTGCTAGTCCTGAAAAATAACGGTATTTTATCATCACCACGTAATGTAACAACATAGTATCTTTTGAAGTATATAACATAATTCAATTAAGGTATTAATTATAACTAGAAATAAAAAATACTTAAAAGTACATAATACTGTAGCTGATATTCGCATTGTCAAATAAAGTTATTTTACCTAATTAAAGCCCAGATAAGAATTCTTAACCTTAGAGCATCCTCAAAAGTCTAAACAAATTGGAGATAATGGTATTTTACAGTACACTTAAATGAAATATTCCTTGGCAAAGAGACTGACTATGACACTTTCTGTCCTATCTCTGAGGCATTCTCAATTACAAAAAGTTCTCAGTCAACATAATAACTAGCAGAACTTGGGTATCATTTATATGTACCAGCTTACCTGACTACCAAATATATCAGGAAGAGTCTTCCTTAATTTCCAGTGGGTTGACATCCTCGTTATAATAATCAATATCTCCATTGTCATCCAAAGGCTCTGTAAACAACAAATGATGAATCAGCATTGTAACAATAGATAAACACTCAATAAATGAATAAAAATAGAAAAAAGTTGATAGCCACAATTAAGCTGAAGCAGCTGGGGATGGCATTATGTACTTGTCATGCCCACTATGAGTTTTACTTGTTGATTGTTTTTACACTTAGATGGCTCCACACAAGTACTAAGTCACCAGTGAGCCAATTATGAGTACTACCAGTCTCACCAGTTAGCTCTATTCCTTAATTTCTGAAAAAGAATTCTGGTATCTAATATTACTGTTGGTGATGTCTATAATACAATAATAATCTACGTCTTTAATCAAAATAACAGCATCAATATTGATAGTATTAGTAAAAAAACAATGTATATATTTTTTTTCCTTCAAACTTAAGGAAAGGTGAAATCTGGTGAGGTCACAAGGTCCACTAAATGCCTCTTTTGTGCATAAACACTTACAAAGACATCCATATGCAGAGACATTTCACAAAACAATACTACAGCGAAGACAATATTTTACCGGGGACTTTGGGTTAATGCATACTCTTATACTCAATATGTAAGTATAATTGATTAGAGCTACTCATTAATTAGGCCATTCATGAAAAGTAAATAAATAAATAAATAAAATAAACGCATTTCCTTAGACAAATGCATCTTCAACTTACCATCTTTAACTTCAATGAATTCAAAGGGAATCCCATCATTTGATTCATCAGATCCATCACTATCCTGAAAGACAAAACACATTGCTTAACATATTAAGAGAAAAGAATGAGTTTTTAATTTTCATATAATACAATAATATTTATGACTTTAGCAGGACCGCAGAAATTTTGCACCAGAAGTAACCCAACATTCAAAGAAAGAATAAAAGTTCTTCCCTTTAATAAAGAACTATGAATAAAACTACTGTTCTTTAATTTTTCTACCTACACAAGATATGCTTTCCTGAATTACATGTTCCTGTTTTTAGAGTTATTAACCCAATCACTATGGATTTATGTACTGTAGTTTTTGAGAATTTTGCTACATACAGATGGCTCCACATGTGCTCAGCCACCAAGAAGTCTATTAGCAGGCCCTAGTGACCACTCCTGATTTCCCCATTCCTTGAAATTGTAGAAAAATGTCCCCCTCCCCCCCAATACTATTGATATCGATATTGTTAATATTCTTACTGATATAATGATTATCAAATTGTTATTAAAGTCTTGGTAACATTAAAGACAATGAAATAATACAAAAATCAAGGAAAGGGATAAGCTGGTGAGATAGGTAGACTAATATCTGACTCCTTGGTTAACAAGCACTTGTAGAGCCATCTATGTGCAAATACAATAAAAAAAATATATTACAGTGGGCATAACATGTATTCTTGCTAATGGGTTAATAAAAATCCATATTAGGCTATTTGCACCTAGCACTCTACAGAGTAACTTAAAGGTCAACCTATAAATTTTCTTTTGTTTATTGTGTATCTACATTTATCCTTCAAAACATTGGCAACTGGTAATGTGCTATGGCAATTAATCGCATATAACAGGTCATGGCTGATCCCGTTACAAATCTCTGTCCTGTCCATGAGGATAACATCTTGCACATGCTACCACAATATGAACATTCAACAATGAGCAGAACAGAGTAAACAACTGAACGTACTTTTTCACATGGCCCTACCCATTTCTTTTCTTGTTGTTCCTAAGGGAAGTATCAAATATCAAATTATAGTAATAGTAGCCAATAATGGATCCACTGAAAATTTTATATGTTACTTTTGATGAAATCTTTCTACATTTGAGCAAAGTCTATAAGTATGATCAATTAGCAACAATGAAAACAGAATTACCACGTAAAAAATGGCCCATCACATCAGTGATTTTCCTAACTACATTTTCTTCTTACTATGACATAATGAAGTATTCTTACTTGATGTAGAAAAACTTGTGGCTTTATGTCCTCCATCTCATGACAGGGAGATTCTGCAGACAATCTGATGTCACCTGAAAATGTTTTCAAGTGTTAACTTTACATCGAACATGGATCTCTACTACAGAATTCTTTCCTCTTTTCAACCACTTAACTAACATTTTAATTAGTCTAGAGGAATGATAAGAATGAGAAAAAATTGCCATTGATAGAGGATTCCATATTTCTTTACCCAAGAGGTAAAATTTAGATATTGCTTTTGCACCAAATGAAAAACTATTTATGGGTTGTTTTCAATGAAAAACTATTTATGGGTTGTTTTCACATAATCCTTACTGCTGAAATTTCCAGGATTTTTATGTGCTTTTCAATATGGCCAAAATTCCTATTGCATTGAAGACAGGAGTGACCATGAAAACTATTAAGGTACCACTAATGCTGAAGATATAATGCATATCTAAAATTTCACAAGCACTTTAATTTCTTCACACTATGAATGTCTTCGGGGACAGTTCTTTTACATGTTTAATACATTGATGTCTTGTCCTCTTGAGAGGTAGTTCACAATGGTTAGAAACTTCAAAAAAGGGGAGACGTGGTGCCATTTGTGTGACACAGACAATGCACCTTGAATTCTCTGCTGTGAACATGCTTTTTGAAACTTGTTTCTTAAGAGCTCTGGGTTGCAAGAACGCTCAAGATAATCGGTGTTACCAAATTCACCCTCTGCAAACATTTTGCAGCACAAAGCAAGCTCAAATCAAGGCTTAATAGCCCATACCTAGCTCGGCCTACTGGCTGATGACAGTTGCGGGTGCACCTATCCCTATAAATAGCTGTAATAGTAGTAAGAGGACACTTCTATTATTTCTACATTATTTTTGGATGTATTTTGCATGCAAATATACAGGAATTGTTTCTGGGCTAAAAATCAAATTGTTTACCTATACCTAACATTAGCGGTACCTTAATTGTTTCACATCCTGTGGCACAAAGTTTTCCACTGGTGCTTCACACAACTTGCTATCTCACTGGATCTCCTTTTGGCCTCTGTTCTGGCCCATAAGTATATGAAGTATTCCAAAGTTACAGGTCCATAGCTTTCTTTGATAGAACCAGGTACCTGCATAAGTCCTTGGAGTAGGAAGAGTTTGCTGGAAGTCCATAGCTATGGTGTGGACTGTTGGATCTTGATTATTCTTTTCCTGAGCAATCCTAGGCCTTTGTAAGCGTAGGCGTCTATCTCTCTTGACTTCACTCATGCATGCAGCATCAGCATTTCCACCCAGTGGTCGGAGGTGGAAATCCTCCTTAAATACACTCCTATAGTATGACAAGGTCACCATTCTCTCCTTTGGATGCTCATCTTCAAGCCACTTTTGGTATAATATGTACATTTTATTGATACTAAGCTCTGTAGGTCTGTTTTAAGCAGAAGTATGGGAAACACTTTTTTTTTAAAAAAAAAAAAAAAAAAAAAAAAAAAAAAAAAAAAAAAAAAAAAAAAAAAAAAAAAAAAAAAAAAAAAAAAAAAAAAAAAAAAAAAAAAAAAAAAAAAAAAAAAAAAAAAAAAAAAAAAAAAAAAAAAAAAAAAAAAAAAAAAAAAAAAAAAAAAAAAAAAAAAAAAAAAAAAAAAAAAAAAAAAAAAAAAAAAAAAAAAAAAAAAAAAAAAAAAAAAAAAAAAAAAAAAAAAAAAAAAAAAAAAAAAAAAAAAAAAAAAAAAAAAAAAAAAAAAAAAAAAAAAAAAAAAAAAAAAAAAAAAAAAAAAAAAAAAAAAAAAAAAAAAAAAAAAAAAAAAAAAAAAAAAAAAAAAAAAAAAAAAAAAAAAAAAAAAAAAAAAAAAAAAAAAAAAAAAAAAAAAAAAAAAAAAAAAAAAAAAAAAAAAAAAAAAAAAAAAAAAAAAAAAAAAAAAAAAAAAAAAAAAAAAAAAAAAAAAAAAAAAAAAAAAAAAAAAAAAAAAAAAAAAAAAAAAAAAAAAAAAAAAAAAAAAAAAAAAAAAAAAAAAAAAAAAAAAAAAAAAAAAAAAAAAAAAAAAAAAAAAAAAAAAAAAAAAAAAAAAAAAAAAAAAAAAAAAAAAAAAAAAAAAAAAAAAAAAAAAAAAAAAAAAAAAAAAAAAAAAAAAAAAAAAAAAAAAAAAAAAAAAAAAAAAAAAAAAAAAAAAAAAAAAAAAAAAAAAAAAAAAAAAAAAAAAAAAAAAAAAAAAAAAAAAAAAAAAAAAAAAAAAAAAAAAAAAAAAAAAAAAAAAAAAAAAAAAAAAAAAAAAAAAAAAAAAAAAAAAAAAAAAAAAAAAAAAAAAAAAAAAAAAAAAAAAAAAAAAAAAAAAAAAAAAAAAAAAAAAAAAAAAAAAAAAAAAAAAAAAAAAAAAAAAAAAAAAAAAAAAAAAAAAAAAAAAAAAAAAAAAAAAAAAAAAAAAAAAAAAAAAAAAAAAAAAAAAAAAAAAAAAAAAAAAAAAAAAAAAAAAAAAAAAAAAAAAAAAAAAAAAAAAAAAAAAAAAAAAAAAAAAAAAAAAAAAAAAAAAAAAAAAAAAAAAAAAAAAAAAAAAAAAAAAAAAAAAAAAAAAAAAAAAAAAAAAAAAAAAAAAAAAAAAAAAAAAAAAAAAAAAAAAAAAAAAAAAAAAAAAAAAAAAAAAAAAAAAAAAAAAAAAAAAAAAAAAAAAAAAAAAAAAAAAAAAAAAAAAAAAAAAAAAAAAAAAAAAAAAAAAAAAAAAAAAAAAAAAAAAAAAAAAAAAAAAAAAAAAAAAAAAAAAAAAAAAAAAAAAAAAAAAAAAAAAAAAAAAAAAAAAAAAAAAAAAAAAAAAAAAAAAAAAAAAAAAAAAAAAAAAAAAAAAAAAAAAAAAAAAAAAACTTTTTGGATCTTGATTTTCTTTTCCTGAGCAATCCTAGGCCTTGTAATCGTAGGCGGTCTAGCGCTCTTGACGTCACTCATGCATGCAGCATCAGCAGTTCCACCCAGGGGTCGGAGGTGGAAATCCTCCTTAAATACACTCCTATAGTATGACAAGGTCACCATTCTCTCCTTTGGATGCTCATCTTCAAGCCACTTTTGGTATAATATGTACATTTTATTGATACTAAGATCTGTAGGTCTGTTTGAAGCAGATGGGAAACTCCTAATGTGTTCCCTTACCAACTCACGCCTCTCAGGAGACACTTTCGTTGCAGTCCCTTCTAACCCCCTCCTGTCCCATTGTATCACACCTGTTGACTGCAGCTTGCACATAATTGTGCGCACACGTTTTCTGGATATGCCATGAATAGACAGGAAGCCAGCTGCACACACTTCATGCTCAATTTCACCACTTATTACTTTATACTTAAGGGTTTGCGTACGCCTCGACTGCTTGCCTGGCTCAACACGCGATCGCTGCACAGCGACACTCTCAACGAGCCGAGATATATACTCATTTTGCTTTTCATAATTTCCAATTTGCCAAAACTCCTCGAAAATAGTTTTCACTTGATCACCAAGGCGGGCCATGCAACCGCATTTACACAGGGGCCCAACAGACCTAGCTGGCATATTTTTGCCAGTGCTAGCACTAATGTATGCAACACCAGTATTACGTTTCTTCTTCGCAACCGCAAGTTTCCAAGTGTGAGGGCGTCTCACACGCTTGTCTGACCTTCTACGCCTTGCGATCGGCTCACTGGCTTTACCAGAATCATTCATGACTACAGCCATACACACAAAACACGCAAAGAGTCCTTGGGAGCGCAAGCGAGGCTTCCCATTCGTTCCCCACGCGATGCGCCGCCGTCATTGGCTGCACGCGGGGGAGTGTCCGGTGCGCTTAGGCCCCGTCTATTCTCAGATTCTGCTCCCAATATAGTCGAAATGGAGAGTGAAGGGGGTATTTCTATAGCATTCTCATCTTTATACCAGAAGCCTATATCCACACATTTGAAGCCAAACTAAGCAAAGGCTAGAGAGAAAGGTATAAGAGAGCGCATACATCCCTTCGAAATAGACGTGTCGGCGGCGGTGGTGTAAGCTATCGCCTGACGCAGTAATTTCAGATGTAAAAAAACAGGAAAACCAACCATTGTTATTTATCATTATTTCGTATGATTCTTATAATTAGAACTGATTTTAAACCATTCATAACAAAAACTATTTACCACCACCATCCACATATATTTTCTATTCAGTATTCTTATTTTTAACGACGAAAAATACCAAGTGCAAAAAGTGTATACTATTTTTAATAATTGCAGGTGCGAGTGATTATCTATATATGAAAAAGTAACGTATATAGACAACAAAAAATAATCATCCACATACACAAGAAATATAATATGAGTGAAGAAATAAAAAAAGAAAAAAATGCAAAAAGAAAAAAGACGAGGAAAAAATCGAGAAGAGAAAGGAAAAACAGGTGATAAAATACTAAAACAAGCACACAATGACATCAATGAATGAACTAGTAATCCAAGTTTACATGCAAAACCAAAGAAAGATAACAGCTTAATAAAGGCATATTATGCTTCCTATATCTGTTAAAAAAAAGTGTTCATACAGCAATACAACAAAATGTATTTAAAAAATCAATACAAGCACAAAACTGAGAATACATTGCTAATGTATGATATCATTTAAGTATTTATATTCTCAGTTCATCTGCAAAAGATTGGAGGAATTACAAAATAAAAATAAGCATTATGACTTTTCCATGCATAGAAGGAAAGGAAGATTATATAAAATACAAAACAGAATGAATATTGATGCACAGTACAAAACAACAATTAAAATGCAGCAGAAACTTTTCACAGAAATAACGAAAACAAAAAATGAATAAAGATTGTTAATGTTAAAGAAAATAAAGCAAACATGGTATAAATATACATACCATGAAGATTGTCTGATTCAGACTCTGTGGATAATTAAGAAGATATCATACATTGTAACAAATAATAAAAATGATTATATGTGACATACCTTAATATTTTTTTCTGTTTTTATGTGGGAACACCATCAAATTTTCCGTGTCCTCTTCCCTCTCAAGTCTTGATTCCTAAATTTTGAGTAATAAAATATTTAAAAATAGATTTAAATAATTTCTTTCCAGGCATCATTACAAATATCATAATGACATATATTTACATTATCCATTTCATTTCACAATGTTTATAAATCTTTGGGCTTTAAAATGTTCTCTTTAAACAATCCATGATTAATTTGCTAGGATGAAAATGATACTGCCTTGAACAACTGTCTTTTTGGTGTAAAAATACATCATAGTATCTGACATCATGAGATGGGTTTTCTGACATTAAAACTTTACATTTTTCACACGTGTCTTTTCAGAACAACTCAATAATAATGATAATACCCAGTAATATACAAGATTACATTATCCTCCAAACTATCTTTAAAGACAGAAAAATCTTTCTGAATTTATAGGAAAAAAAGTGAAATTTGGTCTACTGATTCTGTAAAAAAAAACTGTTTTTTCTATATCTTCCTCTTCATTGATGCATTTTTAATAATGTTGCATGGCAAATCACATTTTCTGCAAGAACCCTGAATTCTTTCATCTTTTTAAGTAACCTAGCTGTTTCTACAGTTATTATTATTTTTTTACAATTACCTAGTTGCATCTGGCTTTGCCTTGCATGTGATCTGCAATAATAAGTAATGATATAAATATTTAAACTGTTTTACAATGGTTCAATAAAAATACACACACACACACAGTGAGTATAGTCTCTCCCTTTCTTTACGATGTCATTCAGGGGCATCATTTCAGCTTTTTCTTGTGGAGGGTAAGGGTGGTCAATTGAACCAAACAAGAATTTAGAAAAATAAGTTTTACTAGGGCCATTTTAAAGCCATAACCAAACTTATATTGGTGTAATTTAATATATAAAAAAATAAGTATACATATAGAGAAAAATGTAATGGCATTATAATAATCAAAAAGAAAAACTAGTCACTAATTTATGAAATAATCTGAATAGGCAAAAAATGTCTAAAAATCTAGAAAATAGGTTGCAACAACTGCTGCATGGGGAGTAAGTCCATAATAATCAGGTGCGGGATCCAGGTGCCAAGCATCCGATAGGGAAATACAGTGATTGGATGAGTGTCCAGAAGCAAAGTCCCAAGGTTTGTAGGATTTTTGGTTCATACAGCAATGTCTAGGGATTTCTGAAGGATGGACGGAATAACAGGGACTTAATCTCAGATCACTTCATAAACACTACCATTATTTGCGATGGAAAATAACAAGAGATTCATGCATATTACAGTGTTGATAACTGAAAGAAGAAATAATAATGGCAAGATTGGATGGCTATGAAAAAAAAAATCCCAAATTTCTTATCAGTTTGCAAGGGAAATATGTGAAGAGGGTCTTTACTTTCTGGCCTTTGATCCACTACAGGCAAAATTAATCTAGTATTAAAAGGCTGTGTGAAACTGAAACTATTTC